TGCTTAATAAGCATTCCTTCCCCTATCAGTTAGCCATCTTCTCTCTTCCTCTCTCTCACACATACAGGCTTGGGTCTAAATAAAAGCCAGACATATTCAACTTTAACCTTCACTTGGAAACTTCTAGATCTTGTCACAAGCTTAACATGAACCAAATGAGATCTGAGGTATCTATATAGATCATGAGTTTGTCTTAATCTTTTACAGAGCACTTAGAACACTGTTTTCTTGCAGGAAGTAGGGCTGTGGTTTTCAAGGAGGAAAAATTTAAGAGAAAACTGGAAAGAGTAAAAAAATTTTACTGTCGTTCTTTTGACTTGAGAAGAACTCCTGGGATACCCAGGGAGTTCTGAGGCTGACTTCCCTCAGACAGGCTGTGGGAGAGAAAGCAGAGCATTTCATTATACCAGCTACTTGGGTGTGCTTGGGACGCTCTCAAACCCTTCTTTATTTGCCATCCAGACAGGAACAAGAGCCTCAGAAGCTTGTTTTCAAAATTGGGGAAAACAGATGTTTTTGCTTATTTTTCTTTTTCTCTTGCCAAAGTGCTCACTGCATTTTCATTGAGTTCTGAGCTTGCTGGTTTTCTTTTTTCTCCCATTACTTTTAAGCCAAATCTTGGAAGAGAGACATTGGGAGATGAAGGGGAAAGATGGGCATCCCAGCCTGGCAAAGCCCACTGTTGGTCTCTAAGAACCCAGAGGCAGAGGGACTTAAAGGACATGAGAGAGAGAGAGAGAGAGAGAGAGAGATGGACTGGCTGGGCTCAAGAAAAGTCTATCTGGCATATTCCTCAGGATTGCAGTGTCTGGGACGTCCTCAGTGGATGTTGATAAGATATGACCACTCTTCTCCTCTGAGGAAATCAAAGCATTGTGTCTGGCTGAGCAAGGCTGTGTGGCTGTGGAGGGGCCCTGTTGAATGCAAATATGCCAATGCTGCCCACAGTGCCCGCCTTTATAAGCCAAATCATGTGCTGTTTTATGTACTGTGGTAATTTTCTGTTGCTTCTCTGAGAAATGACCACATATTTGGTGGTTTAAAACAAATTTGTATCTGTAACTTTATGATTCTGGGTTTCTGAAGTCTGGCTCAGGTCTTGAAGGGCTGGAGGAAGATGTTGGCAGGGCTTTAGGGATGAATCTGTTTCTTTGATTCTTCTAGCTTCTATATATTTCCTACATTGCTTGGCTCAAGGTCCCCTTCCTCCATCTTCAAAGATAGTAAATAGTGAGTTGAGCTCTTCTCATGTTCCATAACTTTGATTTCTTCTTTATGGCTCTTCCACATTTAATGACCCTTGGGGTTACACTGGCCCTGTCTAGATAATCTAGAATTAAACTCTTAGTTTAAAGCCAGCTGATGAGCAATCTTAATTTTATGTGTAGCTCTTATTTCTCTTTCCCATATAAGAAAACATATTTTAGAGTCTATGGATTAAGGCATGGGCATATTTGGGAGGCCGTTATTCTACCTATCATTAGTGATAGGTCATTTTCACCTTAAATATAGTCATATATATGAGGAGTCCTTCAATTGTAAGAAACAGGACTTAACTAATAAGAAGGAAATAATTTCACAAGGATTCTGAGCCTCCGTCTAACATACTTTGGACATGTTGTAAGAAGAGACCAGTCCTTGGAGAAGGACATCATGCTGGGGAGGGTGAAGGGACAGCGCAGGAGGGGAAGGCCTTCTATGAGGTGGATTGATTCGGTGACTGGGGTAATCAGGATGGGTGTATTGGAGACAGTGTGATTGGCACAGGACAGAGCAGGATTTAGAGCTGTTGTGCATAGGGTCGCTAGGAGTTGCAAGCGACTCGACGGCACATAACAACAACAACAACAACAACATGCACTTTGAAGGGAAAATGTGAGTTGGCTATAGACACAGTTGTATCCCAGCATTACCAAGACGTATTCGGTTGGTTTTATTTGTAGTGGTTTGATTCATGAATAAAGACTATACACATGATGGCTAAGATATACGTCAAGGCAATTTTAGGCTTCCATAGTTCCCAAGACTCTGGACACCAAAGAGGAAGACATAACCTCTTTGTAGATAATCTAAAAGATCATTGACATCCTATCAGAACCAACTCATAGCTGCCCCTCCATTGAGTTTCGAAGCTTTTGTGCAATAAGATGTTGCCCAATCTTCTCCTGCAGAGCCATTAGTGAATTCTAACTGCTGGAATGACAGAGCCTTCAGGTTAGAAATGCAACTTTCTATGGACCATCCCTCCAGAGCTCTAGCAGAATCCTGAGAAAAATGGCTCTCATTAATTCAGCTTAAATTAATTCAGACTTAGAAAATTCTTAAGAAAGTCTGACACTCTCTTCATTTCTTTTCTGCTAGTTTATAAGCACATTTCTAAACCAGTCACCGGCCAAGGAGATTCAGTAATTGCCTCATTCTAGAGCAGAGATGGAGACAACCTTTCCAGCTTTAATATGTTTCCTGTGTTCAACCTCATGATATGAATAAATACCCATTCACTGCCCTCAAGTATGTTTTGACACATGGGGACCCTGTAAGATCAAGTAAGTCTGCCCAATAGGATGTCCAAGGCTATAAATATTTATGGATGCAGACTGCCTCGGCTGTCTCCAGAGGAGTGGTCTGAACTTTCAGTTAGAAACTGGGCTGCTTAACAAGCCACTGGAATTCCTTACAAATAAATAGATAATACAAATGAAGTGCTTTAGAATAGGTCTTGTTAAGATTAAGTATTCAGTAACAGTAGCTATAATAGTAATGGGGAGCTCTGGTGGCTTAACTGGCAGGGAATTGTGCTGTTAACCCAAAAGGAGCATCTCTCTGGCAGTTCAAATCCACCAGCTGCTACAAGGGAGAAAGATGGGGAGTTTCCTCCAGTGCAATTTACTGCCTCCAAAGGCCCACTAGAGGATTAGCTATGAGTTGGTTCTGACTAATAATTGTTCTATCATCATCATCATCATCACTAAACCCCCTGAGAAGTGTCTTAGGGACTTCGAAAATTCTTACGAAAGTCTGACACTTTCTTAGTTTCTTTTCTGTCAGCTAGGATCACACAGCCTCTCGGATATGAAGCTGTTTCTTTTGACCACTTCAGTGGGGACTGAGGTTTTCACCAGCAGCTTGGATTTTCACGTGGTTTTAAATTGCCATCCATCCAACCCTGGTCTTGACTGTACAGATGTATCATTTAATGAATGTGTGCCAGTGAGTCTGAGTTCACCTACTGAGAAGTCAGATTGACTGGCTTTACGTTAAGTGGTATAACCTGTCTAATTATACATGACTGATGAGTTGGAGTCACTTTGAGCATATGGTTATCTCTTTCAGAAGGCATGGACATGGTAAGTTAGGGTGAGGCGGAAAGTTAGGCTTAGCAAGAAATTCATGTCTTTTTGTCTCTCACCTGTCTTAGCAAACTGGAATTGTCATACCAAATAAAGAGAGTCAATTCCAAAGAATAATGGTTATATCTAGATGTTTGGGAATAGCACAACACTGAGAACTGTCTTGGTCTGATGTGATTTAGCCCACAAGAGAGTCGTTATGAGTCGCCTATGACTCAACGGCACTTAACAACAATAACATCAACATAGAGAGAGATCAGTTGGTTTAGTGAACAGAACGTGATGGTACCAAGCCCAAAGTGGGTGACTTTTAAACTGTGGCCCTCAAGCCTTGGTTTTCTTTGTTTTTGTTCAAACATTCTTCTAGGTCGTATAGCCCTGGTGTGTCCACTTGCCATACAGAGGTAACTTGTGGTTGCTGTGAAGCTGAACACTGTGACACTGACATGCCAAATACATTAATGGTTATCCATGGCAGAGAGTGTTTGGTGGAGCTCCACAGTTAAAACAAGCTTGGAAGCAGGAGTGGCATCCACTTCCGTAATAGCTTGCCTCCGGAAACCCTATGAACCTAGAGAAAGGATGAGAGTCACACAAATTTTGAGGACTTTCATTCATAGGGTTGCTGTAAGTCACCCGTGACTCGACGGCACTTAACAACAACTACAAAGAAAAATTAATCACTATAAATAGTAAAGAGCTCTGGTGGCGTAGTGGCGAGAAGCTGTGTTGCAATCCTGAAGGCATGCGGTTCAAGGCCACCAGCTGCTCTGCGGAAGAAGGATGGGCAGTCTCCTCCCATGCAAGTAACTGTGCTGGAGGATCAGCCATGGGTCGATTCCAGCTTTACAGTATGCAACAAAAATAGTAAAGACATTTTTAGCTCTAATTAGAAATGCCCATTGAATGGCCAAAGAAAGATCCTTTTCACTTCTCCCCAGGACATCAATCTCAGGAACACATTCCTGGAACTGAGATTCCTGTAATGGAGCAGTGCTTACACATCCAATATCAGGGTGGATTTCAGAGAGAAAAGAAAAGTATGAAAGATCATCAATTTCCCCCCCATGCTTGCTTTGTGTTCACTATGTTCCTTCTCACTTTGGGGAGCCCCACATTTTCTTTTCAGAACTTCTAGTCCAAGATATTCAAAGCATCATGTTCTTCTGCCTATAAAGCATGTAATCTTTTCTCTAGGAACTTTAGTAAGAATCTTTCTGATGAGAGAATTTCTTATTGATAGAGAGGGGGAAAGGAGTATTGATGGACTCTATTACATCTGGGGCACTTCTAAAAAGATAGAAATGCTTTGGATCTGTACAGGGCATCTTAGGAAGCACTAAACTTTGAGGGAAGAACACATATTGTCAAGATTTAAGTGGTGATCTACTGGGGAAGTCTCTCTGTAAGGGCTCTTGTGCCTCTTTCTAGTCAAACAATTCCTAGTCTTAGGCTCTGTGCCTGCTTTTAAATGAATTGTTTTTTTTGAAGCAGTCAATAAAAAAGCATCCTGCTGCTAGGACCAACCATCAAAAAGAAGGAAGGGAACAGCACAACCTTGGGGGGTGGGGGGATGTGTGAGTGGGAAATATTGCAGGGCAGAAATGTGGCTCTGCAGGTCTGATACTATGTGACTTATTTCCCCTAAAGGACCCCATGGTTTAATGGATGGGGCTTTAACCTACCCAGAGGTCAGTCTCTTCTGGACAAGTGGAACCTCATTCCCGAGGGCATCGACATCCTCATGACACACGGACCTCCGCTAGGTAAGTGAAGCGAGGGTTGTCCCTTTCTCATAGGAGATACCACCCCCATCCCAGTATACTGTGTAATGCTTCAAAGACATAATCATTTTGTTCCCCTAAAAAAGGGAAAAAGAATATGGGGAAAAATAAAAGTCAATGTCTTTAAAGAAGCCCTGTCTGATAATTAAACTCAGCAGTTCTGCTGGGCTTACAGGTGTTCTGGAAATTAAATTTTTCTTTATTTAGTTGAGTCAGGGAAAATCAAATCAGTGTGGAATGCCATAGCCTTTTGAGCTTGATAATTTATTTTAAGAATTGTGTTCACTTTGGAGTAAGGGGGGTTGAGATGGGAAATGGAGGAAAGACAGAGTCCTCCCAGGTACCTGGTTTCTAAACAGCAGTGAAATGATGGAAACTTTTGTTCAAAGGAGCTCATTTTCTTTCTTTTTTTTTTTCATATAATGCTGGTATCTACAGGAAAGAGTTGAACATTTATATGAGAAAATAATTTTCTCTCTTTCTGCCTCTCACAAGTGTTACACTAAAAGTTACTTAAACATATTCACCCCATAGGTGCAGTCAGGGCTAGGTCTGTATTGCCAGGGTTGATTCAGTCATCTCCACAGTTATACAGATTATGAGTTGTAAGGTGATTATTTGATTTATATAATATCTTCTAATTATTCAAGAGTTTTTCTCTCTCCTGAGATTAGCCACAGAAAATTTTTCAGTCTGTACTGATCATGCCAGGACCTTTTCTGTCTAGCTAAGATGTGCGTTTACCTCGGATTTTATACTGTCCCTGTTTTACTGTCAGTGTTTTTCTGATCGTCTTGCTTTGGTCATCATTGACTTGGTGTCAGGACCAATTCCTAGCTGACCCTCCTGTGTGTTTCCCAAGCTGGAAATCTCAGAGGAGATTAGCCATATTTCTCCTGTGGAGCTTCTGGTCAATTCAAACAGGATTGCACAGTGAGCATTGCAGCTCACATAGACTGTATCACTGTTGCTGTTGATTGCCTTCTAGTCGAGCATGACTCATAGTGACCCTATGAACAGAAAAGGCCTGAAGCCCCTCGACAACTACGAACATTTATCAAAGTTCGTAGAGTTTCCAGAGGCATGTTGTTTAAGAAGGAGATGCCAAAGAGAGCTTTGGTGGCCTAGTGGTGAGGAGCTGCAACTACAATCCCAGAGGCTCAGGGTTCAAATCCACCAGATGCTTTGCCGGGGAAGGAGGGACAATCTCCTCCTGTACCAGACAGATCTGATTTGACGGTACACTCACACAAAAATAATAAAATAATAAAAAAAGAAGCAGATGCCACTCCTGTTTCCAAAGCACTCCTTTAATGCTTTAATGTGAGAGTGTTGGGGGGGGGGGAAAAACAAAACACTACAAAGACAAGTTATTTTCACAGTTATTTTACATACTTTGGGGTTGTTATCCAGGACACTTTTTTTTCTTCCACAATCTAGAAAATTAAAAAGCTCTAACATTCATCCCTTTATATGAATTTAAACTTTATGGATATTTACTACCCAAACCACTTAATGCTGCTTGCCTTCCTTTACAAGGAAAGTTCTGTGTTTCACAAAGAAACCTTTTGAATAAGAACCAGATCATGAGCCACAGTGGTATCTTTTAATAACAGGGAGAAGCCTGAGGAGAGGAGTGAGCTCTCTTAGATGTGGAGTTTGTACATATTTGCACAAGATCGGCACTTCTGTGCTTCAGAATTACCATCGTCATGCTTGTCCACCACCCATCCTGCATACTTAAATTATGCCCACCTTTATTTAGTAAGTCATAATTAATTAAATGACTTTGACTCTCAATCATTAAAGACTAACACATTCAATTGCTAGCTGAAAGCATTAAGGGCTATTCAGTGATTTCATTTCAGCCCCCTCGATCTCTTGCAGTCTGGTTAGGGGTATCGGCCTGATTTCCCTAATGTTATCTATTGTTAGGAACTTGGGACATCCTCACCTTATAAATGCTGCATGACTGGAAACTATTCTTTTGAGCAGAGCAGTTGATTCACAGATGGAATGAGGTCATTTAATTTGTCTTTGAGAAAGGGAATCTGAACTCTGGGCTCCAAAGTTGACATTGAACATCCCATAAACCCTTAATCAGAGAAGCTATCTTCCTTCTTTGTGGCATAAATATGGAGTAGGCTAAAGAGTAGCTGCAGAGTGAGCTCTACCTCAAGCAGTTTGGAAATAAAATCTCAAGCAAAGTTTTTCTAAAGGATAGTTGAACATTAATACTGCTACTGGAATTCTTATGCAAATGATGTGCAGAGGCAAAATTAATTTTCATTCTCTTTTGCTGGTGAAGGAGCCACAGTGCCATAGAACTTTCACTCTTTTGAGTAAGGTACTTTTTCAGGTGCTTAAATATTAAATCAGGAGGCCCAAAGGTGCAGTATTAAGCATTTAACTGTTGATGGAATGATTAGCAGTTCAAACTAAGCACTTACTCCTTGTTGGAAATGACAGCCAGTTTCCATAAGATTCCAAACCAAGCCGTTGCTGTCTGGTTGATTCCAATCCATAGCGACTCAATCTGTAGTCGGGTTGAACTACCCCCATAAGGTTTTCAAAGTTATAAATCTTGACAGAAGCAGACAGCCACATCTTTCTCCTGAATAGCGGCTAGTGGGTTCAAACTCTTGACCTTTTGCTTAGTAGGTCTGCTAAATATCTATGCCACCAAAGCTCCTTCCACAGAGATTATCAAACTCATTACTGTTGAGTTGGTTCCAATTCATAGTGAAGCCCCCCTTTAGTTTTCTGAGGCTGTTAAATCTTTATGGGAGGAGACTGATTATCTTTGAACTTCCAATCTTTTGGCTAGCAGCCCAATGTGCTATACTGTATACTGCCAAAGATTACAGCCTAGGAAATCTTTTTTTGGTTGTTTTTTTTTTTTTTTTAGCCTAGGAAATCTTATGGGGCAGTGCTACTCCAAAGGCAGAGGAATAGCTACGGGAAATAGCTCCTGTGTGATTGCTAAGTGATATCTCACAGCTGGTAATAGAAACCATGATGCTTAATAGTAACTGCTCATTGACACTCAACCCCTTAAGTGGTGCCTAGGACATGTGTCATACCTGCCATGGGCTAGATATCCAATGGATTTTTTAAACATATAAAATGCAGTGTTTTCCTCTGTAAGGAAAACTATCTCTATGAGAGAATGTGCAAGTTATTATGGGTGAGGAATTCTTTTCCCTCACATTAAATAGTTTTGAAACCCCTACTTGAATTTTTACTGTGGACCCTTTCTCATCAAATATTTTTCCCACTCTCTTTGGCCACTCCTCCCATACTCAAGGCAAGATGTCTATAGAGAGATGCTAGATATTCATGTCTATGGTTTGGCCAAACAAAGTAGGACCCGCTTGCTTGCCCCTTTCCATTTCATCGTTGCTAAAGAAATAGAAATTAGTGTGGAATGGATTCGCAAGGATTATGACTCAGCCTTTTGTCCTTTCTACCTTTTGTAATGTCCCATAAAGGCATATGGGTTTCGTTTTAGACCATAATCACCTGGACAGCCGACTCTTGCAATAATTTATGTCAGTTTTTTATGATTTTTCCACATTAAGCAGAGAACTAAGTGGCTTTTACTTTAAAAGTAGTCTATTAGCCTTGGCTTGTTGGACACCTCTGGGGTGGGGATGGGGGGATCCCATTGTTGCCTATGCCTAAGGGAGAGACTAGTGGAAAAAATTTAATTTCCCTAGTGCTGGTCATCAGGAATCAGCAAGGGTTAAAAGTTGGTGTTTCTAAAGAGAGCCAAGTGCCTTGTGGCTAGCTTACAGGCCACCCTTCCTAGAACTTCTGGCTTGAACCCTCTTGGAGATAGACTGCTCTAAGAAAAATAAAATAAAAAATTGAATGTAACTGAATAGAGAGAGAAAAGAGATATTATGGCACTGCCGGGAATAAATGTCATTGAGCCCATGAAGAAGATTTGAAACCTGTGGCTGAATAAATCAAATCCCTTACAGAAAAGAAAAAAAAAAGTGTTAATTAACAGGAAGGAAAAAAATGGAAACCCACAAAAAAAAAAATCAAGAACCTTAAAGAAGACAAAGTGACAAGTGAAAAGTTTCTTAAAAGCCATTGTGAGCTTTAATGGAGAGGCTGGGATTACAGATAATGTAATAAACCTTCTGTGAGTTATGGCTTCCTGAAAGTCTAAATGAAACCTTACCTGAAGAAAGAAAATTAAGAGTATTGATTCCATTTTTCCCATAGGTTTCCGAGACTGGGTTCCAAAAGAGCTTCAAAGAGTGGGCTGTGTGGAGCTGTTGAACACAGTGCAAAGGCGAGTCCGGCCCAAGCTCCATGTGTTTGGAGGAATACATGAAGGTAAGAACAAAAAGGAATTCTGAGGAGGTATCAGTATTCATGATTTCACTCTCCAAGGGAAAAAATTGAAAATAATAAAAATAGTGCTTTTCAAATGGTTTTCAGCAGTGGAGCCCTTTTATAAGAGGACGTAGTCTAAGAAATTCCAAACGTATAAAGATGGCAGGCGATGGTAAGGAGCTAGACTGCCAACCTCAAGGCACATGGTTAGAATCCACCAATGGCTCCGCAGGAGAAAGATGGACAGTCTCTTCCTATGCTACCTACTGCCTCTGAAAACCCGCCAGAGAGTCAGCTGTGAGCTGGTTTGGATTCAGCAGTACATAATTTTACATGGAGCTGCTGTGATTTAAGCAGAGTGGAGGGTGGGAAGCAGGGCTTGTACCAGTGACCCGAAACCTCACACTGTCCAGTGCAACTTCTGGACTCATGGGGCTCTGATGAAGAATGTGTGATAGCCACGTCTGTAAAGCAACCCTTTACACGTAAATATTGAAAATTAGAAAGTTAGAAGAAATGGTCCAGGTCTTGGACTAAATTATTTCCATGGTCCCATTCCACCTGTAAATACTTTTTCAGATGGAATACGCTAAAAAAACCCAGAAAAAGAAGACAAGACATTCCTTGCAAATAAGTCCAGGCAAACAAGGAAGACTATATAATGGGAGTGGCAGGAGCTTGTGCATTTGCCAGTAAACATTTCCTTATACCCCTCAGAAATCATCAGGATTGTTAGTTTGGTCTGAGGCAAGAAAGAGTAAGTAAATCTTCCCTAAATGGAAACCAGTCCAGTTACCACTTTCCCTTTTTCAAGATAAACTGAATCCCATTCACAGAACCTGAAATGTCCACAGGAATCTTGGCCTTTGGGCAGCCTCACAGTGTCTTTCATGGGGCATTGGGTTTACTGGCCCGGCTGGGCTCCCCTGCACTCATGCTGGTATGCAGCAGGTGTGTTTAACTGGGCAACCACCAGGCTCCCTCCAGCCTGGCTTGTAACTGTGTTCTAGAGTCAGTTATGAGCCTGCTGTCAAGTTGAGGCGTTTAGAGTCAATGTGTTTGATGAGCAACACCACCAAAGTTTGTTTCCAGAGCTCACACACATACTGACTTCCTGGTTAGGAGGACACTAAAGAGATATTGGAAGAATCTGTTCTGGAAAACAATGTATTCTAATATTGTAAATAGACTGGTATAAAACTTTAAAAAAAAAAAGATCATGTTGAGAATCTCCCCACTAAGGACAAAGAATATTCTCCTTGGTCCAAAGTGCAGGTACCAATCGAGCAAATGGAAAGCAGGGGAAAAGCTTCCTGTCAGCAAGCATGTTCAGCCTGTCACCGTGGCCCAGCTTTGAGTCTGGAAGGAGCGCACCAACTCTAAGGCACACTCGGGGAGATGTGGAAATCAGAGAAATGGGATCTCATTTCAACCAGCCATTATCTCAAAAATGAGTTTTGTTTCTTGCAGCAACCCTGTGAGTTTGCATTTTGTCATCTTTTTCCCCCTTATATCATTAGTTAGCTTTAAATGAGCTGAGCTGACAATTGTGGAATTCCACTGAAGCCCCAAAACAATAAACTTGCTAAGAAGGGAGGAGATCATATGCAAATAAAATTGTCTCTCTTTTATTCACTTAAGACAGCTAGAGAGGGCAGGGAAAGGGCAAATACCAGCCTCGTGATAAAGAGAGATAACAAGACTTTATGACTCCAGAACTAAACAGTGCACGTTCAAATGCCACTTTTCTTTTTCTTACGAGGTTTTTCATTGACCCTCATTAAGCTTGCTTTGAGAGTTTTTAGCAAATGGGAAAATAAGAAAAAAAAAATAAACACCACTCACCCCAAATTAAAAACCGTATTAGTTATTTCTATAAGTCTAATCAGTCTTGGTAATTTTCTTTTTTCCATAGCTGTTGTTCTATGCCATAGGCACCTGTACAAAATGTGGTTATTGTTGTTGTTGTTTTTGTTATATGCCACCAAGTTGAAACTGACACATAGCTGATCCTCTGTGGGATTTTCAGAGTTTAGTTTTGAACCCCCTGCCTTGGGATTGGCAGTTAACTCCTTACCACCAAGCCACTTAGAATTACAGATTCTTTCAGAGACTCTGGGGCAGCAAATACAAGGTCACTCAAAAAAAAAAAAGTCAACTCATTTCTGTCAAGTCAGTTCTAGCAGTGACCCTTCACTGGATTTCCAAGGCTGTAGATCTTAACAGGAGGAGACTGTGTGTTTCTTCCAGGGGTCACTGGTGGATTTGAACCACTGGAGACTTGCAGTCTTTTTGGTTAGCAGCTCAAAATTTTCAAATGTGCTAGTAATTTTAATATATCGAATTTTTAAACTCAGCTCAAGCTCATTGCCATCAATTCAGAATCAAATCATAGCTGACCTTGCAGTGGGTTTTCAAAGGCTATAAATCACATGTGCGGTGTCACCCATTTTCTTCCCCAGAGCAGATGGTGGAAGCAAACCACCGTCTTTGGGTTAGCTGCACAAGCCCTTACCCTCTAGGCCATCAGAGGTCCCTGAAATCTGTGAAAGGGTAGGAGACTCCTACCCTTCTTCCCTGGGTCACTTTGGATCCTGTGTTCAGATATGTTTAAGGCAGCCTGGTGGTGCACTGGTTAAACACTTGACTGCTAACTGAAAGGTCAGCCATTTGAATGTATCAGCTGCTCCGTGGGAGAAAGATGGCCATCTGGGTCTGTAATGATTACAACACCTGAGCCCCTACTGTGGGGCAGTTCCACCTTCGACTCCCAAGTCACTATGAGTCTGGAGTTTGGGTTTGGTTTTGGGGTGGGTTTTGGGTCCAGGTGTACTTGGGAAACACTGTTCCAAGGTGATACTTCTTGTCTCTTGGACATATGATTAGCTATGCCTTTGAACATAACACCATACAATCAACTAAGGTAGAATCACTTATGTTAACTTCAGTGCACTGCAATAACCCTAACTGCATTTGAGAGTTATTTATGAACCTGCTTGTGCTTCCATTTCTCCATTCCACTTCTTCCACTTTTCAGTTCCGTGTCTGAGACATTTTTTCATGCATTCATTTTGTTCCCAGAAATTCGTTAGTTAGCACAAGGTTTTGAAATTAAGATCTTCTAAAAGAGGAGAAATATTTTATAAAATCACAACCTTTCTTTCTAAGAGTTTAATGAGAATGGGGGGAAAAAGAACCACTCTTTTTTGAAATAGAGGTATTTGTTAAAAAAAAATTAAAAGTAAAATTAGGTGACAAATATTGAAAGTTGATAGGTACGTGGAGGCTCAGCTGAAGCATTAATGGTCTAGTATGTGATCTATTAAAGATTGGCAGTTCTAATCCACTAGCTATCCTATGGGAGAAATACAGGTAGTCTCCTCCAATAAAAAGAAAGCTGAGGGAGACTCCTTATTAGTCACAACAGATTTAATCCCAATAAGTATGAATGAGTGTCAAAAAAATCCTGATAAAATATTGTGGATATTAGACTTCTAACCCGAAGCTCAGTGGTTTGAATCTAGCAGATGCTCCCCAGAAGAAAGATAGGCTATTTCCTTTCATAAAGAATTACAGTCTCCTCTCTAGACTCCTGTCATTACAAAAAATACCATATCACATATCCCTTTTAAACAGTTTTCTCCCTCATTTGTTTCAACGCAGTATACATTATTGAACCCATCTTTCTCAGTCTCTCCACAAACCCAAGGTCAGTCCTGTTTTACCACAGTGGCACCATCAGTATTTGTCCTTTTGTAACTGAGATACTTCACGCAGCATAATGTCCTCCAGAGTCACCCATTTTGAATAATATTGCGTGAGTTCCTTCTTTTTTAATGCAGCATAGTATTCCATTGTGTGAATATACCACAGCTTCTCTCTCCATTCATTTGTTGATGGGCACTTACGTTGTTTCCAACTCCTTGCTATTGTAAACATAGCTACATGGTAGAGTGGACCTGGGGGAGGGTTTATAAAACAATGAAATAATTTTTCTTTTACTTTTCCAAGAGGGTAGTGTTCTGGGTGGGAGGGTTGGGAGGGGAGAAATGTGCAACAATGAATGAATGGAAATACAAAGTCTCTTTAAATTTTTACTGAAATTAATAATAAATTTAAATTTAAAAAATTTAAGTTAGAGTAAGGAAGTCAATGGATTTATAACTGCTCATGTTAATAACACTATATCATGGCATGGAGGAGGAATAGTGGAACTGTATCCACATTTAAAATATTCTTCTTACCAAAACCATTTATAAAAAATAGGAACTGCATTGGAACATGTATCTCTGGATTGAAGATGATCATATTGATAATATTTCTAGCCTTAAACGTATAAGATTATATTATTCAAAATTATTTGTTATATATTTTTTTTAATTTTTCCCCTTTTAACAACTGGGATCTAGAGGGAAGAGAAAAGACCAGAGAATGGCCAAAATTATTGGGACAGCTATTGCTGCCAGTTTAGAGCCTGTGTCAGGCAATGCCACCCAAAGGTAGTAAAGGAGGTCAGAATTACTTCCACTGTGGAAAGCTGGGCCACTTCAGTAGACAGTGTCACAGACGAGAGCCACAGATAGGCAAGGGAGTAGAGCAGAAACTCCCACTCACTTGCTTTAAGTGTGGATCTGAAGGACACTTGGCCAAGGGCAGCCCACATCAGGTCCTAGTGACTGACAGACCCCAGCTCCCAGCTGGAAACAAAGGAGGATGCTTCAACGATTCAGATCCTCCCAGAAGAGCTGTGGGTGAGCACTAACATTACTGGTAAGTATATTCATTTCCTCCTGGACACAAAAGCCTATTATTTGGTCCTAAAAGCCTTCTGAGGTCCCAACTCTTCTCACTATTTCTTAGCTGTTGGAATTAATGGAAAACCTCATAAGCAGTTCCTTACTTCACCTCTGCCTTGCATGAAGACTTCCGAGCTGTAAAACAACCCAGTGGTAGATGGAATTTGGTCCAGGACTTAAGAACTGTAAATGACATAGTTGAGCCTCTACATCTTGTGGTTCCTAACCTTTATACTATATTAGACAAAGTGCTAGTCAATAAGCCTTTTATTTAAGAACTACCTTCCCTCTGTAACTTGATTTGTGCCACTATTAGAACCTCTACTTGGAATATTATTGCTTTTAATTTTTAAAACGGAACAAACAAACAAACAAAAAAAGAATTCAAGTCTCAGAAACCTGATGGAAGATCACGATGAATCAAAATTAACTTGATGGCAAATCTTTCCTTAATTTCCTTTCCTGATGGAGCCACATTGAGCCACTAATGTGTGTGCAGATTACAGTTAAGTGTGTCCCTCTCTCCCCACAGGATATGGCATCATGACAGATGGCTACACAACGTACATCAATGCCTCAACGTGTACAGTCAGCTTTCAACCAACCAATCCTCCAATTATATTTGACCTTCCAAACCCACAGGGTTCTTGAAGCTTTGATACCCCACTGGAAAATGAGGAAAGATCTATAAACTGCCATTTTTCTAATGACAAAACCTACATTCTCTTTCTTGTTCATTTCCAAATCCTTTCAGTTCATTTTTTTAAATTGCTGAAACTTGAACGATGGTAGAAAGTTGTGCTTCTTTTTCCTTTTTCTAAATGGGCATCCATTTGAAATCAAAGGAGCCTTGTAAATTTGTAAAATAACTTCTGTTTCCTCAAAAGCCACGCCATTATTAGTATTCGCCAAAGGACAGCCAAGCTTTTTCTTTTTTTCTAAGTACTGAAAATCGTATTTTAATATGCTTTAAGCTGGAAGAAGAAGGAGAAAAAATGTGAGAACCAGGTAGGCAGTGTTTAAAAAAAAAAACACAAACAAACACACACCCAAATTTGCACAACTGTCTGAGTATTGTTTGAAGTATTTTTTTTAATGTTTTGTTGTTTCTGTTGTTGTTATTTTCTTGGTAAGCTTTCTTTTTTGCAGACGTGGCTCTGATTTATAACAATCTTCTCAGCAAAAACAGATGTGGAAGGAGAGAGCTCTTCAAATACAGCGTTCAACCCTCAATGTAGAAGAAAGCTGTGTCAAAAGAGGAGCCACGCCCTCGCTTGAAGCCTGGCTCAGCTAGAGAGAGCCAGATTGTGGTTCTTCAAGTCCTCCTTGTCTATTTGTTTCCTTTTTTAAATTATTTTAGCTTTAAAAATATGAAAATGGAATCTGTGGAGAGAGCAAGTATTTCATGCAATGAAAAGAAAAAATGAGCGTGCAGACTCCTTTTCAATATGGATTTATATATATAAGTATTTTTTGTGTATTATGATTAAGTTAGGAGTTTAATATTGCCAAGGACAGTCCAACTGCAAAAGGGATGCTGTACAGCAGCACATCAGATGGCGAAAGACGCGGAAACGTTTTCTCAGAACTCAAGGTCTTAAAGAGCTTGAGTTAAATCTAGGTGCAGTTGCAAGTGTGTATAGACTTAAATGGATGCAATGGAAGCTAACTAAAATAAGGCTTAGTTGTCCTTTATATTTAAATACCCCGAATTGTCTTCTTACTTCCTCTCCCACCTCCCCCCCATTTTGCACTGTGTGTCGATGCAATCTTCGCTAGCACAAAATATTGTCGCTAATAGTCTTTTCTGTTTTCCCATTGTAAATGCTGTTAAGCTTTATTCTATTTTATGTTCTCCTGTTAATGAAATTTAGGAAAGCAGTGTTTCTTTAAATTTATTGTGATATTCTATATCTAGCGGCCTTTATATGCAAATAAAATTGCAAGATTTTTCAATCTGTGCTGTTTGACAGAGTTGAATGGTGGGAAGATGATCAGTCCTGAAGGTGAGGGAATGTATTCATATTCAGTGTCAATGAACTCTTTCAGAAGAATTAGAATAAGTGACTTTCTCTCTCAAATTGTCAAGGAATTTTGATTGCCCACCATCTGTGTGTTGACAGGCAGATCAATAAGGCACTCAGTCTACTCATTCTTCTCATCATAGTATGGTCTGTCCTGCGGTAGATTTCAGGAGGGGAGAGCCATTGTCATTGCTGCAGGAACAGTCAGGATTACAGACCCTGTGGTCGTGTGCATAGTGGTAGGAGGTTTGGGGGGAAACCACTAATAATAATGACTGTACATCCTCATTTGTCCCCAGGAGCAGTCAACATGCCTACTTTACTGTTTTCAAAATGACACTGCCATTAAATGCTGTTGCAGCCAGGGCTGCCAGTCAGTGGGATGGAGAAATTTGTGTACATTGCCTATTTCATTTCCTCTAGAAGAATCACTGAAGACAAGCAGCCTGAGCATGAACTTGAGTCTATTCTAAAAGTCAGCCTTCCAGTGCCCACTGTATTGTTTTCTGATGCATCTTCCTTCCTCCTGTCCAGATGCAATGCTTTGATGTGATTCCTGAGAAGAGTTCTTGATTTCCGGGTCAGCAGAGTCAAACACATTCTAAGCCAGAATTTTGGCTTCAATTCCTGTGTTGCCATCTTAGATCATTTGTGACTAGTAATTAAGCTTCTCAGTGGATGGTGGTCTAGGAACACACCTTAAGATTCGGGAAAGATTGTAGAAGCCCTTCTAAATTAACCTTCCTTTGACCAATTATCAAAGGAAAAGCATGCAAACTTCAGGGCCTTCAGAGGAGACTGGAGTGGGAGGTGGGCCAATGGAAAATTTCCACTACCAACTAACTGAGGAGACTTGGACTTCTAGAAAGCAGGCTTTCCAGCACAGGTGAGCGATCATGAATATGAGTGTCAGACACCAGCCTTGAGAGCCTGTCTGGACAAAAATTAATTGAGCCAAGCACTTAGGAAAATTGCTCTTCATTTATGGGGACAGGAAGCAACCGAGTCTGCCAAATTTAAAGAGGAAAACATAGCCTAGCTTATAGAAGAAACTTCCTCCAGCTAATCCACCACTGGCCCCAGGGTGGCTGGACTCTGCAGAAGCCTGAAAATGTCTCCACTGGACCTTCTAATGAGAAAGGCGGGAAGTTGGTTGATAAGTGCTCACAGTACAACTTCTGATTCATCATCTGTCGTCCTGGACCACCATCCTCTGAGATGCTCAGTTAATATTAACAACATTAATAGTCTAAGATGTTAACACATGAATTAGAGTTATAGTTCTGTGCCCGGAACATGCTCTACTCTGCAGAGATTAAAATCAACATTCAAAATCAAATCACTCTTACAATTTGGACACCTTTTCTTTTCCTTTTGCCAGGTCCGCTGCCGAGCATGCCTCACATCTATCTCAGTGCTAATCTTTATGGAACTGCAGAAGATCCCATTCACCCCATTTTGTGGATAGTAAACTATGGTTCTAAGTTAATTAATTCCCCCAAAGAAAATGTATGGTCTCTAATGGCATAGAACTGACTCCATAACGCATGCTTTTAATTTTTTTTTTAACTGTAATTGCCGTGAATGTTTATAATGCCAACTGGTTTTTTTTCATTGGAACATCCACACACATTTTTGTTTTATAACATTAATTATAATACCCAAAATGTAATAACATTCTTCTTACTTCCTTCCAGTAATTATCATGTCCACCTAGGGCTTCATCCTTGGGGAAATTATGCTCTTTTGACTCTGTAAGGTTAGTTATTGTAAGGAGTGCCCGCCAATCCCCTCCCATTACAGCTACATCCTTGGAAACTCAATGGAGGGTCAACTCAGCTGTGAGCCAGTTGAGACTCAGCCGCAGTGGGTTTGAGTTTGAGTTTTTATCGGCCTGTTGCTTGGCAGAAAGATAAGCCACAGCAATGAGTTTTGCTCTGAGTTTGAAGCATGACTGAGGGCCATAGTATCAGGGATTCCACCAGTCTCTACAGGACCAGTAAGTCTGATCTCCTTAGGGTTTTGGGTTTTGAATTTTGTTCCACAGTTCTGCCCCTGCACCCAACATCTTCCACTTTGGTCCATTTTGGAGTGGCTTTGCTCTGTTATTACCCATCTTTCTACTGGAAAATGTGATGCTTCGGGAGCTAATACAAAACTAGTGTGGGTTGGGAGATTTCTCATCTGAGGAGCTGGCAGGAGCACACTGCTACAGTTGGGCCTTTTGACATCTTTTTCAACTGCTTCTCCTGTGCTTGCGGGATGGCACAGTGCAGGAGCCTGCCCAGGCCATGGCTCTCTTTATACTAGTTCTGATGTCTTCAGTACAATACTTACCTTCTCTGTAAAAAAGGGTCATTGATGATGACGTTGGTTTAAGTCTTCTATGAATTAATGTTTTCAGAGCACTGCCTGGCATCCAGCGAGTGGTGGACATGTGTCGGTTAAATAAGGTCCTACTGGTTTAGTGTTAAGAAATTGTGCTGCCAAGACAAAAGTACATAGATTGGATCAACACCAGTTGCTCCAGGGAAGAAAAATGATCAGTCTCCTCCCGTGCAGTTTACTGCCTCTGTAAACCTGGTGGAGGGTCAGCTGTGGGTTGGTTCCAATTCAATGGTACACAACAACAGCTGTAGTTTGGGATTTTTCTGGTTCTATCTTGCCTGTTGATCTCGTCACCATTTAAAACACCTGTGGACTTTTTGCTGAGAAAGTGAGTTTATTTGCATGCCTCAGAAAAAGTAAGAAACTTCCCTCCCTAAGACTGTGAAGCACCTCAAGGGTGTTTGCAAAAAGGGGGGGGGGAAGGTACCTCACTTTCCGTTTGAGTTTCTTCCTTTGCAAAATCCTTTCTAATCTCCAAATCAGAAGGGATTGGAATTGTTGCCAGTCGCTCTAAAGGGCAGCCATGGGTGCGAACATTTTGTGGAGTGCTTCTCCCCTCTAGGGTCTTTCCACTGCATCCTAGCATTCTCTCTAGCTCATTCATTGATTTCTCCCTCTGTGTTTTTCTCTCCAACTCTTTTGTGTCTGTAAAGATGCTGGGGTTTGTCAAAATCCCTTTAAGACACAGGTCACTGTTACTCTGACAGGTGGCCAGACTTAAAGACTTAAGCCTGACTTCATCTCCATCACTTAAGTAAATAAATACTATGACCCTGGTCTTAAGTAAGGAGAAACAGAAGCTGGAAAGATTTGGGATTTGTCAGTAGCAGATAAAGCATCTGTCGTGACAATGACCTCACCCCCACCTTCACCTAGCAAGGCTATTCACCATCAACAGTTCATATCCATGCTTTTATATTTTCTAATCTTTTTGTTGCTCTATTGCCACTTGCCTAAACATTTTAAGGTTCTTTGAAAACTGTTTAAAATTAAGTTTCTTGAGTGGTCTGAACAGCTCACCTTGGCAAACCAAAGATTGGCAGGTCAACACCTTCAAAGGATAGCCTGGCAATCAATTTAAAAAAAAAAAAAAATCACCGATTGAAATGCTTTGGAGGATGGGTGGTATATGCAACACCTGGGATTGCTTTGAGTCTGAATCTTTGGGCTAAATTCAGAAACACTGTTGGACCCTAGGTGTTTCCGTATTTAAGGCATGGCTAACTTCTCAAAATTACCTGCTGCTATTGGGTTGATTCTGACTGGGCAACCTCGGGTCGTTGCAGAGTGGAAGTGTCCTCCAAAGTGCTGGGCGCAGGAAGGGAGGTCTGGTTCCAAAGTCCATAGAGAGTTGCCCTGCCGACCTAAAGACAGCACCTCACTAGTGGTTTGAATCTGCCAGCAACTCTGTAGGAGAAAGAGGGAACATTTTCTCCTGTGTGATGTACACTTAAAGGTCAACTGTGAGCTGGTTCTAATTCAACAGTAATGGGTGAGTTAGACATGGAGTAGGAGGATTTGATGTGGGGAGGAGTCCTCCAGGATTAGTCTTAACTCATTATATCACGGAAAGGAATCCATTTTTAAATGCCAGCTTTTAAAAAAAATAGGGTTGGGTCTTTATTATTCCCCCTCCAGTTATTATGTAATTAGTACACAGAGTGTCGTAAGTATTTCCATTCTATGCCCTCTCCTATTCTAAGCACAGCTGATTCCGAGCCTTCCCAAAAGCCTTGCTCTTCCTTGGTTTTCCTCACTTCTCCAGATCATGACAAATTCAGAGCAGGTCAGCGGTAGTGTTGTGGTCTCACAGGAGATCATAACTATTTCTCACATTAGTTTTTGGATTCTTGCCTTTGAGTATGCACTGCCTTTTCAACTTGACATTCCAGGGATAACTGAAGAGAGATCCATTCTTCCAAGCACAGTGTGATTATGTAGTCAAGAACCAACCATAGCTCTCTGAGGAGAAAACCAGGTTATTTGGAAGAAGTCTCAGACTCTAGCTCCGATTACACCTAAAAATGTCCTTGCATTCTCATCACTAGTTTGCCTTCAGCAACTTTTGTGAGCCCCTGATTCCTCCTTCTAAAGAGAGATGATGAGTGTATTATGTCTGCCTTTCCTACTTCAGGAAGTCTTCTGTCCTATTCCTGTCATGCATTTTAACAATGATGTAAATGTCAAGTCTAAAGGATATTGGGTGTTGGTAAGAGCCCCAACTGTGGAATGAAGCGTGCTTGTCCTCAAGTCCCAGGCATGGCATTTACAAGCTAGGTAGCTTTGCTTATACTGTTTTAATTCTCTCAGCCTCGGATCCCACACCTGTATGATGGGGATAATCCTTACCTCATGGTGGAGTTGGCAGAATGGTGCTACCAGTAGAGTTCTGGGCCCAGTGAGCCTAGTAAGTAGATGATGATGTAGTTTGTAATGTGTCAGGCTGATAACCAAAAGGTCATCAGTTTGGATCCAGAAGCTACTCAGTAGGAGATAGATGGGTATTCTCCTTCTATAAAGACAGACTTAGCTAATGGAGGGACACTGTAGGCTGGCAGTGGGTTTGGTTTGGGGATTTTTTAATTATCCTATCATGATTTTGTAAAGCAGAGCAGAATGGAAGCAAAAGGAAATATTTAGCTTATTTTTCTGTTAGCTACATCTTCACAAGATGAAGCTAAGTTTGAGATCAGGAGGCAGAGAAACAGTGCTGCGAGCATATATAAATGGAGCCCTTTAAATTTTTGCCTGTTCACTTTGAACTACCTGACAAAACATTTGTTTGGGGTTCTTTACTCCTCATTTCCTTCCTGATTTAGGGATGCCTTACAAGACAAAAAGCTTAAAGTAAAAAAGGCTTTTTCCTATCCGAGAGCATCTATATTTGAGTAATGGTGAGTGAGAGAAGTGCATTTCTATTAGGAAATGCAGCCACAGAGGTACTAAAAGCCTGGTAGACCAAACACTTGAAGGCACCACACTGCCTCCGCATCAATCAGCTTTGATTTTTATGAAGCCACAGTTACCATGAAGTATACCAAACACTCTCAGAGCCCACCTACCATGCGCAACGACCTGCGATTTCATAGCCTGTGTCTGCCACAACCTTAGCGATGACTTTGGCAAGGTTGTGTTTCACTGGAGAGGTCCCTGAAATAGCCCATGACCAGACAAACAACCTCTGGCTTGGCAGCATGTCCTTGCAGATGCCATCTGTAATGCTCAGGTAACAACTACTTAATCCTTTGTTACTGTGTGCTGTCGAGTTGATTCCGATTCCTAGTAGCATGATAGGACACATTACAAGAGCTCTGTAGGGTTTCTTTATGGGAGCAGGTCTCCAGTGGTTTGCTATCATGGAGCCTCTCTTGGGTTTGAATGTCTCAGCTTCTAGTTATCAGCTGGGCACTCCATCCTAAACCACCGTGGCTCCTTAATGCTTAAAATCATTTTTCTTAGATCCCTTTCCTGCCCAGAACACCTCTCTTTGCTGCCGCATAGTCATTATGTGTACTTCCAATTATATCACATCCTGACGTACGTTTCTCTGTCCATGATCTCCCTAAGGTCAGCAGCCATTCGTGCTATCTGTGCTTTTGGAGTGGCACCTACTTCCTAAAGCACATGCCCCTGGAAACTCTCTGAACTTGGAGAAACGACAAGAGTTATGGAAAGGCATTGGGTCTTTTGTTTATCGAGTCACTATGAGTCACACTCTACTCGAGGGCAGTCAACAACAACAGCACTGAAACAATGCTTTTTTAAGAAGTTTAGCAAAGCACTCTGGCAGCATAGGGCATAGCAGACTGCCCTGCAAGCCACCAGGCCAAGCCTCTGGGCATTTGAAGCCACCAGCTGCCAAAAGGCAGGAAGGTGAACAACCTCCTTCCACTAAAATTTAAAGTCTTGGAAATCCAGTGGAGGGTCAGTACGACTCGGAATCCTCTGGATGACAGAGATGTGGATTTGACTTTTAATGAACTAATTAATGTTTCACAAATAGCTACATGAGGGAGATAGAAGAGGTTAATTGGAGATGAAATGAGTGTGTTATTTCTCAAACACCATAAACTAGATGCTTTTCCTTGTAAGCTTCCTTTGTAGGATCCAGTTCTTGCCCCAAAAGGGAAAAAAACAACAACACAAAACACAAAACTATGGTCTTTATTTTTCAAACTTAAAGAAAACAAGGTATTAACACATTAAGTAGCTGTAAGAGAGCTAAATAATACTTCAATAAGCAATTGGGGAAGGGGGCGGGGATCAAGCCCTGAGATCCACAGGTTTCTGCACTTATGTAAGTGGCCAGAACAGGTATGAGGAAGTTGGGCATGGGGCCATGTCTCAGACAAGCTAAGGAGGCTAACCTTGGAGAGAGAGTCTGTGTGACAGTGATAATGTCAATCCCCTGGAGCTTCATTCCAGGAGGAGAAAAACCGGTCTGGACAGTGGCAATTCCAAGTATGTCACGTAACTAGTTTGTTTTCTTAATTTACTCTATGAAATGGTTTTCCCTAATGGCATGCCATTGACGAAATGCACCATAATGTCTCCATCCATCACCTCCAAATGCTTTTGCATGCATCAGTTGTTGACTTGTTTTCTCTCGTTCAAGCACATAAATGAGAGGAATGATTTATCCAAGGCCACCAGTTACTTTTATGTGGAATCTGAAACAGCCCTCTGGAGAAATACTGCCTTGAGCACTTATTCTTTTGTGCTGTTCTGGAATTGTAGTGAGAGGTAAATGTCCTCCTGACCAATGTGTCCTGGGGGTCTGGTCCCCAGTAAGTGACAATATGCAGGCTATTCCAGCTATACAGTGGTTCCAGCTATACAGTGGAATAGTAGTGTCTATTGTACTATTGTGGAATCAAGTGTCTGTTGTAGTTCTGTAACTCTCCAATGTAAAATCTTTCAATCCAGTGGGCATGACTATTAGCATAGGATTGTTGTTGTTATAACCCTTTGAATCATAATCAACTCCTAGCTGACCCTCCAGTGGTTTTTCAGTGGTTGTAACACAGGAAGAGAGGAGATATTCTAATTCATTCATTGTCATATTCTTTTTTTCTCTCTCTCTCCCCCTCTCTCCCTGTCTCTCTCTGGTGGATTCAACTCTTTACCCATTAGGCCACCAGAGCTAACTCTGCACGATCCAGTGCACTGACCTTTAAAGGTGTGAGAGCATTTGAGCCATCAGTAGGATTTCTCTAGAACACGGGTTCAGCAAGAAGAGAAAGGACATTACATGTCTGGAATGATGAAGTTCTCACCTTTCACTTGTCCCATTTCCTTGAACTCCAATAGCTACATACCTTTCCTTCAGAATTTTTAATAGATCAAGAAGAAAAGCTAATATAAACCTTAAGATAATTGCTATTAAAATTCTTGTCATCATTATTATTCCTATTTTCTGAAGTTTCCTTGACAGGAGACAAGCCTTAATGTTTCTGGAATAATCTTGCAGTCTCAAAATGCATAAGTTTCACATATTAGAAGGATTCTCCACCTCCCACATTGTATTTGTCTTATGAGGTAATAATGAAGATAAAGGATTTGGAGCCCTAAAATGGTACATTAAATGTAGCAATAATAAGTTGTGACAAGGGCTTAAAATACCACTTTTTACCATCTCAGTTCTTGAAAAGTTGCAAAATCTAATGTAGCGGGTTTCAACTGGGAAAATGTATACAAATCAGTGTTGTAGAAACAAAAATAATAATCCTCATTCCACTTCCTTTCTGTGGTAAGAATCTCTACTAAGTGTGTATGTGCCCAGTATACACTCCAGTAACACTTTGTGTGCCCGACACCTAGCCATGACCTGACTATATTTCTGAGTACCAGTGGGAAGAAATAATGTGTTGACGGATTTCTAAAGGGCTAAATAATAAAATGTCAGTCTTTTTGCACTACCCACACAAGGGTCCATACGGCATTGTTCTGGTTCCCATCGTAACGTAAAGGGGAAACTTTCACAATGTCTCGAGCCCTTGATGTCCTGCAGATGAAGGAGGAGGATGTCCGCAAATTCCTTGCAGCAGAAACACATTTGGGCAGCACCAACCTTGCCTTCCAAATGGAACAATACATCTACAAAAGGAAAAGTGATGGCATCTACATCATACACCTGAAGAGGACATAGAGAAGCTGCTCTTAGCCGCCAGCGCCATTGCTGCCATTGCAAATCCAGCTGATGTCAGTGTCATAACCTCCCGAAATACAGGCCAGAGAGCTGCTCTGAAGTTTGCTGCTGCTACTGGGGCCACTCCTATTGCTGGGCACTTCAATCCTGGAACCTTCACTAACCCGATCCAGGCAGCCTTCCGGGAGCCTCGTCTTCTGGTGGTTACTGATCCCAGGGCTGACCACCAGCCCCTGACAGAAGCATCTTATGTTAACTTGCCCACCATTGCCCTGTGTAGCACAGATTCTCCTCTGTGCTATGTAGACATTGCTGTCCCGTGCAACAACAAGGCAGCTCATTCCGTGGGTCTGATGTGGTGGAGGCTGGCCTGTGAAGTCCTCCGCATGCATGGTACAATCTCCCAGGAGCACCCGTGGGAGGTCATGCCCGATCTGTACTTCTACAGAGATCCAAAAGAGATTGAAAAGGAAGATCAGGCTGCTGCCGAAAAGGCTGTGACCAAGGAGGAATTTCAGGGAGAATGGACGGCCCCTGCTCCTGAATTCACTGCTACTCAGCCTGAAGTTACAGACTGGTCCGAAGGCGTCCTGGTGCCCTCTGTGCCGATTCAGCAGTTCCCTACTGAAGACTTGGAGTGCTCAGCCTGCAACTGAAGACTGGTCTGCGGCCCCCACTGCTCAGGCCACTGAGTGGGTCAGAACCACCACAGAATGGTCTTATGGTGTCTTTTTAAAAGTGGAAATAAGGTTGATGGAAAATAAACAATACATTTCATAAAAAAATAAAACGCCAGAAGCTATCTGTAAGACTTCTGTGTGCAATGGAAAGTATATTTGTTTCACATCCTATGAATGAACACTCTGGTCTCAGAAGATTGAAATGATGTGGTAGGTTGACGTATTTCCCTCTCCCATTTATATTTAATAAATTGTCTTTGAAAAGGAAAAGGGTGATGTCTATAGCTGAGATGCTAGGGAACCATCAATAAAATGAAATTCAATAATCATGCAGAGAAATGTGCTCAATAAAAAGGTGAGACGGGGGTGAGGATGGGAGAATTGGATGGAGAAAAGAAAACTCAAAGGCCCAAGGGCAAAACCGAATGCCCTTTTAAGCGTTTCAGGCCAGTCGGTGTGATTCGTGTTTATCTTTTGATCACTCTACTGTGTGAATTGATTGGCTTAGCTTCTTTGATGTCGGGACAGCCTTGAACACTATGGACCTGGTTGTTTTATCAATATAAGGTCTGCTAACTTTTATTAGGAACCTGGAGAGCCAGACCTCTTATTGCAACCTACCTGTGATGGACTTTTTGAACACAATGGCATATACAAGTGACTGTTTTGTAAAGAAGCTATTCTTCTGAGGAAATAAATTATGTATTTAAAGTATGTATGTAAAGTGACAATATTCAGGCTATTCCAGCTATACTGTGGATTCAGCAGTATCCCGTTTATTGATATAAATATTTATATCTGTGCCAGTAGTGCTGCGTTTGTTGGTAGTATTTGCAGTGAATAGCTTGGTTTGGATGCTGAGGACATCATCTACTGTTTTTAAAGCTCAGCATTCTCAAAGCTATTTAAAGAACCCCGTCATCACCACCACTTTGGACCAATGTTAAAAGCCAGTCAGTGGAGACATTCTCCTTTCGTAACACCCCAGACAATTACTGCTGACCTAGAGCCAATTCAGAAGAGAGATGTATGTTGGCCATTTTTTTTTATATAGTCTCCTGCCATCTGAAAGTGTATTAAGCTTATGATTTGTCATTTTTCAATAGAATCTATCTTCAATTACTTTAATAACAAACACTTCTGTTACTCACTTAGGTCAATAGGGTTTTGTCTTCATTCTAGAAATGGCATCTGAAAATGGGAAAGCATATACAATATTTTCTCAGTTGACTTTAGTGATCACTGATGTACATGGACATCAAGTATTTAGATTTGTATCACTATAAGCATACCACAGTTAAACATGTGTCCACCCTGCAACAAAGTTATTCCAAAGAGACGATTCAACCAGACCATTCATTAGTCATTCGTAACCCTGCTATTGTGGTTGTCGAACCAGAATCAGGACGAATGAGTCTGTTTTCCTTCAGCATGAAACACAGTGGAGCAATCTCCTTTTTCTCTGCCTATTGTGCTGTATAATACAAAAGCCCGATATTTCTGATGGTTTTTGCAGACTCTATCTACTATTTTGATAACTTGTCCATAAGGTGATTAAACAGGTGGAGATATCATAAAGAGAACATTCAAAACACGGTTGCCCTCTCCTAATAGCCTTCTATCTAGTTTCTGAGGCTGTAAATCTTTAGAAGAGGAGACTGCCCAACTTTCTCCCATAAGCCAACTGGAGGATTCAAACCACTGGCCTTTTGGTTAGCAGCCACACACATCATAAACTATGATGCCAGAACTTCTTACTTAGTGACAAATGTTTTATTAGAAATAAATTAATGCAAAGGTAAAGCCTTTTGGATCATATTATGAGAAGTGTATGTCTATAAACTAGCTAGGTCTTGCTGCTGGTAAATCTTGGTAATGCAAGTTGCAGGCTTTTTCAAATGGCATTATTTGTATTAAATGCCTCAAAACAGGTTCCTGAACATCTTCTCTATTCTTCAAACATTCCACATACTGGATTATATTTCCATTGGCCAAGAACTTGACCAATTTAAAGATTTGTACTGTTCCTGAATTTTCCTACAACATTAGTGTCATCCTTTATTTCCCAGTAAACCATTTACATTTCTCTAATGACAGTTAAAGATAGAAGTAGGATTTTTGTATATTTTTCCCATGCAGTCGTAGATCTTAGTTTTTATCAGATTGGTGTATGTGTGTATTTTCCTTCCAAAAACTTCCTTTTAAAAACAATATCTTAAGGAGCTCGAGTGGCAAAAAGCTGTGCTGCAAACCCAAAGGTTCATGGTTTGTATCCACCACATGCTTTGCTTGAGAAGAAGGGACAATCTTCTGTGACAGTCAGATCTGATTAGATGGCACACAACAAGTACAAAAGAAAAAAAGAAAAACAATGTCTTAAAGGATAGAGATTATGACCATAATTTGGTATTCATAATTTAAAATCTTTTAACTGGTAGCTGAGCCCTTTTTTTAAACTCTGTATAAGGTCTTCACTGCAAATGAGGCCTTTATAATCTTCACCCACTGTCCATTTACACGTGAGCAAATGTGTTAAACTGTTCGGAAAATGATGAAATAATTCTGAACATAAATGCAAAATGACTTTTACAAAGACACGAAACAGTACATTACATTCTACTCCAGTAATGTATGCCAGCAAACCAGAGGCTAGGGATTTGATAAAATACCAATTTAAGGCACAAGAAGAAATGATCCCTTGAGTGAAGAATTCCAATTCCTTATAATGGTAAAAAGAAGAAACATACAAGGTCGGGTTTTTTGTGGGTTTTTTATTTTTTTTTCCTTACCTTTGTAATACAGCACTTCTGAACCTAATACATTAGCGTAAGTGGTTTGTCTGAGACATGGAGAAAATTGGCTCCAGAATGAAGAATTAACAACAGTGTTAATGAGAAAATGGTCAGCTTCTAATTCCTGTATTTGAATTTAATATGCAGGGCGATTAGGTCTTCAGAAAGTTGTTTATCTTAAAAAGAGTATTTGATCTTTTTCTAATGTTTCCAGATCTTGGCAAGGTCAAAGCAGACAATCTCTGCTTTGTCACATTCTGTTTTGGTGGAAGGGTTGATGGCTTAATGAAATTGTTATAGCAGCCAAGTAGACAGCTAGTGTACCTCAGACTTGTATATGTCATTGGTGGAACACCTTTCACAGACAATTAGTTCTTTATAAGACATATGATAGTTCTCACATTTATCACATAAGCCCTCTGCCTCTTGAGTGAAAATACAATTTATAACCAGCCAAAAGTAGTCCAGGTCCAACTGAAGAAAAGGAAGTCATCTGCCAGTCTGTGTGACCAAGTTCATTTGTTCAAAATTTATACTTGCTATTTCATGCTCTTTAATGGATGGACCTTTGGTTATTTGTACTTCTGAAGAGTTATGCTTCGTGATATTAAAAGAGTAAAAAAAAATAAAAAGAATCTCTCATGGCCAATGGAGGTTTGGTTGCAAGGGAGAAAAACTCTTAACTTGCTCAAAGAAAATGAAGTTCACTAATAGAATATTGACATAATAAATACTAATACACAAAAAAGTCCAGGAAAAAAGTAACTTTGGAGTCTTCAGGCATCTCAATATCAGTTCTCATACCATCTACCTAATGCTTTATAAAATAATCTTCTGTCTACTTATAATTCAGTGAATTGGTACTCAAGGTCACATGTTTACTTTGATCTAATCAGTAATCGCCAGGGTCTAGAGTTAGCCTTTCATAGGAATGTGAGTGGAGTACATTAAGTCAGAGCAGTATGTTAATGAGGACAAGTTCTGAGCATGAAACCTCATAAATAGTATTTGTTATACTTTCCCAAAGGCCCAAAGAGTTTCACCTCAACAAACTGCTGTCATCATGACCTCAGAAATTGATTGAAATAATATTATAGAAATCAAATGCATATATCTTTGCTTCTAAAGGATAAAACCAGTTCATTTACAACTATTGATATACTGATGAGTAACAGTAGTGCCAAGTCTACCTGCAAAGATAATGACAGATCTCAGCCCATTTTCCACAAAATAGGAGATGAATTGGTCCAATTAAGCTTTGAAGTGTCTCTTGCAGCATGCTTGGCTCTGTCTCCTTTAAAGAACTATAAATACACTGGATTTTGTATACACGATCAATCCAAAGTACTGAGTAGCTAAGGGTAAATCATGGATTGATTTGTCTACCAAAAAATAATCTTGGCAGTGGCATGATTCTCAGTGATTTGGTGGTCATGTAATAATGTAATTTAGAAATTTTAAAATAGTCATCCCCACGATACGATCAACCAGTTTTATGTGGATTTGAGTGGGGTTTAATACTCTTATTGAAGTGATAGCCCAGATCTAATGTAAGTGGAGATTTCCTGGGGTGTGGTCTGAATCATCTGCATGAATGATAAAAGGTGAGATGTGAAAAGATCTCTCTCTCAGTATCTAGTGGTAGATGTGGATCCTCTATTATCATGAAAGAAGAGCTAGAAGAATGCATGCGTTTGATTTGAGGTGCCTGTGCTGAGAACTCCTAGACATTAAAGTTCAATGTCCTAACACACAGAGATATTCAAAGAACACAGACCCATAGACACTGAAAGAACACAATGGTCTTCTCCGTAAACTGAGCACCAGAGAGAGAAAGCCTTCCCCTAGGGCTGGAGCTCTGAATGTTCACATCTAGTCGCCTCAATTGTAAGAGAGTCCATTTCTGTTGTTACAGCCATCCATTTGGGGATTTCTGTTGTTGTTTGCCGTCAAGTCAGAACTGACTCATAGCTGATCATCCAGTGGGTTTCAGAGGCAGTAAATTGTGAGGGGGAAGATTGCCCATTCTCCCATGGAGTCGCTGGTAGATTTAACAGTGTGCCTCTGGGATTGCAGTTCTGCTCCTTATCACTAGGCCACCAGGCTAAGACGTGTAGTTGTTGTTGTTAAGTACTGTCCAGTCAGAACCAACCCATAGCTGACCCTCTAGCAGTTTTTCAGAGG